TAGGTAGGGTGAAATATGCTCTAGTTAAACATATCCAAATTTTGTGCGATTTGGTCTATTATGAAAAAAGTTATGAACGAAAAAGCGACAAAGCATTTCACCGAAGACTTTTGAGCGCTACTGTATGTATATTCATACTAGTCGGACTGCCCGGCTCAGGCCGGGCTTCTTCTTATGTAAACTTGAGTAATTACCCAAAACACCATCCGTTTTCGGAACAAATTATGTTTTTCTGAACATGAAATTCGGCACAGGCGTTACAACTATGACACCGTGCCCTAAATGAGGGGAGCATGGCATAAGCAGAGCAGCGCAAGTGGTATCCAATATGTGCCGATGCTTATGTCAGGATTGTTAGCCAGGCAGGGCTAAAGTTCTTTCCGGTGCCAATGAAGACTTGATCCCTATACATGAGTGACTCGTATTCAACGCTTTTCTCAAAGTTCGTCCCTGTCCAGTTCCAAAGGTAACAAAGGAGTCCTTGACTTTGTAGTCCCATACTCTGCAGGCTACTTCGCAGGTTCCTGATGAAATTGTCGACAACTGCGTGTCGTCTCGAGCTCTAATCTCAAGCGATTCTACGACTTGACAGTCCCTGTTCTTTGTTTTGCAAGAATTTGACCTGTCTCGAAATCGGAGAGCACGTTTGCATTACCTACCCCTGAATCAGAAAAATTACACAAATGAGCAACTGCAAGGTAAAAATGGAATGCGACGGGAAATATTCGAGGTAGCTGTATTGCATTTAACTAACATGTCTTTTCTGAAGAATCAAGAGGAAATTTGTCCATGTTATTGATATTGATTTCGCTGTTGGTCTAAAAGCTAGTAGGCATACTTTCCATATTATGCCTTTACTGAAGTGTCCTGGAACATGAGTTTTGGTGGATTTCACACATGGCAGTATCATGACTGAACGCAGTGCATGCCCACGACAGCTCATCTACGATGAGTCTTTCAACGAATGTTGGGTTATCGAAATAAGGTAGCTCTCTCTGGATTGGTACAATGAACCGCTATGAGGGCATCCAGCTCGATATACCGCATCTGAGCAGAATAGTAGGTACAATCACAGCTCGGCCCACCTAGTGCAAGCCCCCTTCCACCGTAAAATTTTTACCAGCCTTCTTTCACAGGCCCTAACCATTTTTTCCGCATTCTATAACGCTTTTGACCAGCGTCATGTATCAGCCCTGCCCAACCTAAGGAAACTCCGCCCCTACTTCCTATGGATTTGATCGAATCCCTCTATAACCTCTGACCACTTTTTTCTAGAACGTTCTAGAACGTTTCGAAACAAACATATCAATTATCCTAGCCTCACCCACCAAGCTCAAACCCCGCCCTTTTCTGAGATTTGACCACAATTCTTTTATCACCTCCAACTACTTTTTTTCAAGCACTCTTGAACTTTTCAAACAGAGCTATAGACCCATTGTCTCAGCCCCGCCCGCCTCAATACAAACCCCGCCTACTTCAGACGTTTGGCCACACTTCTTTTATAACATCTAACCACTTCGCGTTCTGGATCGTCTTTGAACAGAGAAATATAATTTCACAAAGTAGCTTCCATTTGAACGGACGCCCATCGTGAGAAGAGCTTCGCTCAGTCATTCATGACCAGCACACATGGGCCTTGCTCATTACTTTCACGTTTTTTCCTAGCCTCCACGCCTTCGTTCAATCGAGTTGTGAACAAACTACTGCGGGAACGCTCCGCCCACCCTGGTGGGTCCTCTTCACTTCACCTGTTGACAGAGCTCTTCTCTTTGCTCATTCTTTCCCTTCGTCCGGGCTAAAAGACTACTTAAAGACAAAGTTCATGATAAAAATGGTTTCTGAGTTCTCCCCCTAGGAATACCCAGTGTCCCCCAAGGGTAACAGTAAGGACGCTTTCGAGTCTCAAAACTCAACAGCTAGGGCACAGTGGGAACCCCGTTACAGGATCGCCCGGACTTCCCGCTCCTCAATCGATGTCACGTCAGACGAGTGTCGAGGCGATACAAATTGCGATATTCGCTCTAGGGCCCACACACAAGCAGCTGATCGCCGAGTCATGAGGCGAAGTCTTTTTGCTTATCCTTTATTCTCTGGTATTCGTTTTGTTGTTGCGATCCCTTATTTAGTTTTCTACCACAAGAGGCTGAAAAAGATGGGCTATTTTTGCTGTTACTAGGGTTAGGGTTTTGTTAGCTTATGTATTGGATTTTTGCTTACCGTGGTCAGCTATTCGCACTAGGACCTAGGAGTACGCAATGATACACTTCGCAGCTCGTCTAAACGCCCATTCTTCTTGATTTTTCTAGTCTCGTCCAGCTCCCTTTTTAACGACTTTTCGAAGCCTATTTCACTTTGGAAACAACGATTCACGCAGTATCTTCGCCTTCACCGCACTATTTCCCATTTCCCTTATCTTCCATTTTCGTCATAATCTAGATTACCCAAAATTATCGTGAAGTGTGCCTCTAAGAAATTGCATTACACCGCTCACTTCCGTGCATGTCCACACCTTTTGAAGAGGTGTCGCAATAACCGAGAGCGCTTACCATCAAAAATTGAAAACAGTTTTTAAGTGACGAGCAGTCACTCCTATATATTAGGTGTTTCAGAAAGTTCTGTCGGTTTTGAACGCTTAATTTTCGATGCCCATATCTCGGCTCAAACAGAACTTTATCAATCGAGATAAGAACCATTGTTGTCTACACACTTTTGCAAACGAGTAATAAGTTTGCATGTCCCGGTTGCGTAGAACTCTAGAGATCTAGAAGCTATGAATTCGAGGAAGGTGGATTTGACATCGTGTCGATTATTCAAGCGTTTCTCTCAGAGGAAGTTGTCGAGATGCTTAAGAAAGTGGCAGTCGGTTGGAGCGAGGTCAGTTGAGTACGGTGGGTGTGGCAGAGTTTCATAGCCAAGCTCGTTCAATTTCCTCAGGGTGGTCTGTGCGACATTNCCATCACCGTCTTCGAGACGCTCGTCGCCGTTACGGGATTTCTCGAACCATCGCTGTACAGTAGGTACATTTGTTGTTCCAAGACCAAACGCTATGCTGATATCTCGATTCTTGTCCGCTGCATTCCTGTCTAGTTTGAATTCGAAAAGGGAGACGGTGCGAACTTGTCGTTTGTCTATGTTCTTTCCAAGCTTCTGCAAAAGCTAGGAAGACATTATGAGGCAAAGCTGATGCAACACTCAGAAAGAACAAGAAATGCGCTTCCAAATGGTATAATATATTACGGCAAAGCAACGAAAGATGACTCAGAAAAGAGCGTCTAAAGTGAACGACAGAACTTTCTGAAACACCTAATAATAGAAACTCTCAGCGCATACTACGTTTAGTGCTGCAGCTAAATCTCCTTGTGAGCTAATGCTTGAGACATGAGATAAATTGGAGTCTACGATTGACTCATTAATCGACTCGATAGATGAACAAAATACAGGAGCATATCGGTGGAGCATCGCAGCAGCATCTTTTATAAAATAATCTCACATTCTTTTTTCAGCTTGGCTCGGTCCTTTTCGAATTGACAACATTCCGTCTGCAACTCCGCCAAACGCTCTGTTAATGCTTTCACCGCTTTCTTTTCCTGAACACTTTCATAGCATTTATAGGATAATATCAGCATTCAAAACCTATTCCAAAAAATTACGTTGTTCTGTTTTGCTATGCGAACGGAACAGCTAATTAGTTCTTCAAACCTCGTTTGCTGATTGCGAGCTGTCTGTAATCTTGAGATCCATACTGCATTATTTTGCTCAACCTGGAAAATATCAAAAGTTCCGGCCGCAACTTCAATGGAGAAAATCTACTGTACCTGAGTAGACAGTCTTTTACACTCCTCTTCCAATTCTTTGCGTCTACGCAAAAAATCACTTGTTTTTTCGCGAGATCTTGAAAATGCATATTAATGGAATCAATATCGGTAACGAATAATTGTCTAGGTTGTTAAAAGGCCTATGAAACAATTGTGAAATGCTCATAAGGCTTCAAGTTGATTAGTAAAAATCTCTTCCTCCACCAGTTACGAGGAAGCCTGAAGGGTTAGTTGGTACAATCATTGTGAAAGAGCTGGTGCAGCACAGACCATTTCAAACACATCTATCTTACAACGGTAATTCTGACCAAACAAAAACCATGCTGAAAGGACAACACAGCACTATGATATCAGCTCACACTAACCATGACTAATTGCCTTCTATTAGTTAACATGGTGCTGCAAGATGTAGATTAGCTGCATTATTACTTGGCCCGTCTAATAGTAATACAGTTAAGAAAATATCAGACAGTGATGCCCGCCCATCACATGTCAGATCGTGCCTTGCAGCAGATTCACTGTGTATTTGGTGTAACACTGGTTTTACACCAAATACAAAGAACCGCAAGATCTGATCCCATACTCACTGTGTCAAGTGTGCACGGCAGCTACCGGCGATATACCACAAACATCGTGGACGAAAAACCTGTACATTTTCTTTCGATTCTGCGCGTATCGATGACCCAAATGTTCCGACTGCCACAAAGTAGGCCACATGGAAGGATTCTGTGAAACACGACGACGATACCGCGCATCGCGCTCCAATCGTCACCCCACGAGGCCAACCACAAGATCTGATGCCATATTCACTGTATCAAGTGTGCACGCCAGCTACCGGCGATATGCCATAATCATCGTGGACGAAAAACCTGTACAGTTTCAAGTGGAGAGTGTAGCGGACATAACGAATATCAACGAGTCGACATGGAAATCGTTGGGCACCCCACAGCTGCAGTCTCCATCGCTCATAGCGCTTCAGGAGATCGGATTCAGTTCCTAGCACAGCGAGATTGCAGTTACAGCTTCAATTCGAAGTCTGCTCAAGGAACGTTTTACGTTGGCTGCACACAGCCCAATCTTCTGGGCTCAGAACGGATTTCTAAGCTGGGAATCTACAGCATCATGAATTCGCTTCCAAATGCCGATCCAGCGGATTCCGCCGCAGTTAATGTCAGCAGCAACTGTTCAAGCACTGACCGCATTGCGAAAAAAAGTACAAGAGACTTTCCCAGAAGTCTTCAGCAGCAACTTCGGACTCTACTAGTTCCACAAGCCACCCTTCGCCTGAAAAAGGATGCGAAACCAGTTTCCCTCCCGAAACGACCGGTGCCGTCGCAGCTATTCCAGCCGTAGAAAAGGAGTTTGATCGACTCGAAGCAAATGGAGTGATTTCGAAGGTCAATTATTCGGAGTGGGTATAGCTGTAGTACGGAAGTCTAATGAATCACTGAAAATCTGCGCCGATTTTTCAACG